CCCTGGCCAATTTAATGTGCAGGCTGTATTGATTCCCGGCATTCTTTCACGCGGGCGCGAACACCCCCACCCCCCACCGCCTTGGGATAAGCGAGGCTAAGACTTTTTTGGTCCGATGGTGCTCTCATCAAGAATACCTCTCTGATGAACTGGGAAATTCAGTTTTGTGTCCTATTTGGATATTTGAATGAATGTCTTAGGCAAAGAAGAAAAAATGAGAGCTAAGAAAAAAGCCAAAAAACACGGTTTGAAAAAAGAATCCAGTGGTCGATCATTGGTTAGTTTCAAAAACATTGTGATATAGTTATTTATAATTTTTAGCGTTAAGAGTTGCATCTCAAATTATACATAGATAAATGAAGCATAACCTTACCGAATATGGTAGACATCAAAGTACTTTTACCGTTTTAATCTGAACACTTCTTGTAACGGAAAAAACCCTCAAAGCGAATCGCAACGCAAATAGCTCAAAAAGTGGCCATAAAAGATCAACCTCGAAAAGCAAATAGCCGAAAACGCTCACTATAACGGAATCACGTAATTGAATCCGCTGAAAAAACCGTGAAAAATTCTCCACTCTAAACTGAGATAAACAAAAAACCTAATACAACTTTGGAGCCTACGTACGCCATGTGGCCTCATAATAAAGTTGTTCAAATCCGAACAGGCGGCAACTCCGAACTAGCAAACGATCAACAAAAACAAAGCTCTGTGCAACAGGTACCCCTACCTACAATAAATATAACCACTACGTACTCTCCCGCTGCATAGACAAAACAAACCCACCCCAAACTCAACGCCGAAACATCAGCTGGCCAGATTCTTCCTCGGAACTACATTACACTGTGGCAAGGATTCAAATGAATTCCACATGACTCAAGTTTCCTAATTCAAATCTCCAAACTCATTCCCGTTGATTCGAATTTCAAATGCATTCTAATTTCGAATTGAAAGGCGACGGGGAATTTGTTTTATTTTTTAATATTGGGTATTTTTAATGTCCGCGATTCGACAATGCGGCGGTTTGTGCCGCGAGAACGAACTTCCCGCCTATTCAATTTTCGCTTACAAAGGAAAGTTTTCAGGAAGCGTTCCGGGTCACCAGCTCCGCAGTTTCGTTTTATATTTAAGTAACTTTGACGAAATTGTTAAGCGAATAGTGTATTCAATTAAACTTTCAACCGAGTGGGATTATGGCTGGCGTTTGTTAGTTATGGGATTAATAGGTTATAATGTAATATTATAAAAAGCCAATACTGGTCGGCAACGAAAAGCGCTGGAAACTAATTAAAAACATCAATTCCGGGCGCCACGGTACGGGGGAATATTTCAAACGCACACATACGCACGTCCCCCCTGCACACATGCTCGCATCACGCACACAACAGTTAAAAATAAGTCCCGGGCCATATCCGCGTGAGAGAATGGTCTCGGTTTCGGCCCGGGGTGAAACGGCGTACCTGGAAAACAGGGGCGAATAAATTATTTCATTTTCCTCTTCAGTAGAACTAGACAAAAAAGTATTCCAAAAGAATTAACATTATGATTATGATAACAGAACACTTAAGACATCATGCAATTAAATAATATTTTACAAAAAAAAATCACTGTATCAATCAATTATCAAGTACTTTGGTCCCCCTTTTTTCTCAGAATCACCAAAGAACAAGTTCCTTAATACAGGAAGTTTTAAAAAACACGTCTGATATTCTAACACGTTCATGCATTATGTAGCACCTCTCGTGAAAAACAATAAAACCCGCATAATTTTGCCTAATACTGCAATAAACATGTGACCGAGTGATTTTGCAAGTGTACTGTTAGATTTTTGCTTACATTTTGTAGCAACATGTAGGTCAATGTTATACGGGCTGGAGAGACTAGTAGAAGGTAATATCCCTCTGACTCGAGCATATTTCGCTATTTTGTCTAGTACCTATCGTATCTGGCTAACTTCGTACTCTTGAAAAATTTCACTCTGAATACATTATGTAATTACTTTGGGTACAGGTATGCTCATAGTCATCGCTCTATGCCCTGGCATTTTCAAGAGCAAGGATCTCTCTCAGTTTTAACTCAACGCAATTTGAAATAACTTAACCAATGGTCCATTAAAACCGCTACAAATGAATTACAACAATTAACGTGTCATCGTTAGACACGGAAATCGTTTTCAAAGAAAAATAGATATTTCCATCTTTAAGAAAAGCAGTTACGTCATTCCCTTAGCAATCAGTCGGGCAGTTCTAGAACTTATCCGGGGGAGACGGCCATAGCTAGATGTCTTAAGGCGGAGAGGGATGGCGTGCTCAAACCGAGTTATCGTAAATTGATCTGGGCCGGGGGTGGGGGTGGCGCGCCCAAATTTGACAGCAATGGAAATTGGCGGGAAAGATTATTGGTTGCATCGCACTCTTTTTTCACATTCCATTTTCCAGTACGACGCCGGAATTCTCATTTTAATACAACTGGCCAGTAATTTTTATATGTCCAGTCTCGAAATTTGAATTCGAAATAGGGTATTCGAATTCAAATGTCTTCTTTTTTATTGCCATTACTGAAACTATTCGTAATTCAAATCATCGGTAGGCGTTCGAAGTTTGAAATTCAAATCGTAACTTTTTTCCTCGCGAATTCGGGCAATGGAATTTGGGCCTCTGGTGACGCAATAGGAGTTAAGTGGGTCGTGTAGGTCAGGTTTCTGAATGGGGCAGTGTGTCGTTATTTACGACGCGATCGATCAGGCAATCGTCCTAATCAAGTCACTTATTTGTAATTGGAGTGGTGTCGACATTTGGCATCGCTATAATCGACCGTTTCAATTGAAAATTGAATGAGACAACTACCTACATTACAACGATATTCAAATCAACATAATGATATTATCATTCAATCAATCAGTTCCCATTTAACATTTTTATTACCAACGACTTGACTATCAGCCATTACTGTACACTAGTACTTATTGATACTGAGAATATTAACGTTATATTTCAGTAGAATCTGTTTTATTTTATATCCCAACTAATATTATAAATGCGAAAGTAACTCTGTCTGTCTGTCTGTCTGTCTGTCTGTCTGTTACGCTTTCCCGCTTAAACCTCGCAACCGATTTTGATGAAATTTGGCATAGAGATAGTTTGAGTCCCGGGAAAGAACATAGGATAGTTTTTATCCCGGTTTTTGAAACAGGGACGCGCGCGATAAAGTTTTTCTGTGACAGACAAAATTCCACGCGGGCGAAGCCGCGGGCGGAAAGCTAGTGTAACTATAAAGTTATGAGAAATTTCATTAAGCGTTAGTTCTCATTTGTATCTGCGACATAAATTTTCCAATATGCGTCGTATATGGATACTGGAAACTCGCAGTAGCCTTTGTGTCTTAGATCGGGTCTGATCGAGCTTCGGACGTTAGAGATATCGTTATTGAACACACTCGAGCGGTTAAATTCACGACTACAGCTAACAAGCTTCTAATTGTTATGTCAAAACTGAGTTTTGATCATAGCATTTGAGTAAACCAACTACAGCCGAAGCACAGTAGCGATTTGCTTCAATATCGATTCAATAAACCTCTTCATAATGTCTCACACACCAACATCTTAATAACAGAATCGGAACGCTCCAAGCGATTTCAAAATAAGAATATCATAACTGGCCAATGGGAGGTGGGTGCGGATTTCGGAAGAACGTTCGCACCCCCCTCAAGTTTTTAAAATAAGAAAATTTCGGTGGAGCGTGATATTTTTAAAATAAGAACCTCTTTCGTGGCATATTCCGTGGAGAGAGATTTTAAAATAAGAATAGTTTCGCGATACCCCCCTCGTCTGGAGTTTGAAATAAGAATTCGGGGGCAGATTTGGGTGGTTCGGGGATATTCGGGGGTGTCGGGTGTTCCTTGATGAGAGCGAAGGTTTTTCGTGGAATTTCGTTAGCTCCTTTTGCGGGGTCATTGACCGGCGGAGTCGATACTTCGATGAATGTTGTAGTAATTGGATGGAGGTGTTTTTTTATCTCGTTTTAAGACGTCTGGGGGCTATCAGGAAGTCGAGTTAATAAGATTTGCCGGACACCGCTAAGGGAATTAGGTTGTCAACTGGCTTGTATTCGGCGTTGTATGGAGCTAACCGTGTTACGCGCGAGTGACGGGAATAACCAGTGGCGTTAAAGGTTTTAGTTTTGTAGTCGTTGACAGTAAACAGGTCACTGGTTGAGCCAAATTTTTAGGTTGATATTGGGGTGTATCATGTCATGATGTTTCAAACTCTACATTTTATTTGTTGAAACAAGTTTTTTGTTCGTAACAATTAAAAGAGATTGGATCTAATATTCTGATTAAATTATTTGATTGCATTTTGAATACTGATACTATCTTTAGATGCCCTTTGAAAATGCTTTGTTGATTTAACTTTTTGTTTACGAATCGCAAATACACAAATTGTTGATAGCTACTAGTTACATGATGCTGTGTTTTCAATAATACATATTTATTTTTCTTTTTGCCAAAACCACAAAAATAAGGACAAAATACAACATACTTGAATACTTAATAGTATTATCATCAACAAAACACAGCAATGTGCGACCAAAACAAAAACTAATTTTGTCATTGTGAACACAAAACAGATCTCAATTTTAAACACAAAAATATATTTCATTAGCCAACGTCCAGACGCTGCCCCGGGCGCTCCCTCCCACAGACTAAAAAAGCCGTTGTCTAAATTGATTCCACCGGGAAATTTTGAATTCCATCTGTAGAATTATATCGACTGCTACAGAATGGAATTAAAAATTATGTAACCCATTGTGTATTTGCAGTTTCGCGTTTTTAAATTTCGAATGCTTAATTTGTTCGTGTTTTTTTTCTGTTACGGCTTGGATAGACGCGGCCAGTATCTGTGTGTGTTTCGTTTTAACGACTTGAAGAGAGGTTTTACTTCTCAATTATTCGAGCTGGACTTTAAAATTTACAGATTCACAAGCGAATTTTCATCTTTGCAGGCGATTTGCAACTGATCGAATAGCTTTGGTTAAAAAGTTCGTCGTTAAAATTTCATTAGGAATCGTCATACTCGTATTTGCATTAGACAGCAGACAGACGTTTACAAAATCAGAAGTTCTAGTAAAACTACTAAACTTTGTACTATTTTCTCTTACTAAGCTGATTTATCAAGATCAGCATCAAATTAGTCCCAATAATAAATATTATTATGAATGTAAATGAGAATGAATTAATTTGTTACTCTTACACGTAAAAGCTACTGAATGGATTTTGATGAAACTTTGCAAACATAATACCTAATGCCCGTATTCACAAACGATGCTTGCCTAAGTGAATCAGTAAATCGAAAGCTCAGTGTTGAATAGAGCTCTGTGATTGGTTGGTGCGTCCACGCGCACTGTGAGACCGCATAGTAATGTTTGTGAATATGGGCGTTATTCTCCATATTACCTACAGTGATCAGAGTCTAAAAGTCAGTCTTTCATTGAACAACTGACGCGGGGCTTGCAGGGCGTGACAAGTCCTATGCTTGAGACATTTCTAATTTTTAATTTAAATTTGAAAATTTGAAACTGCGTACAAAAACTAATAGGTATACCTACATAAAATACCTTGACCCTACCAAGCACTGAACCTTGTTCCTTTGCAGTGTAGCCGTGCGGCGGCCATGGCGGAGTGCTCGTTCGCGCGCTGCCAACAGGAACGCCGCGCCATCCGCAAAGAGCTGCAGCGCTGGACCAAAAACATGGTGTACATCCTCGGTGAGTGCCAGTATTTATTTCTTTTTTCTTACGTGTACACATTTCGTTCGAATTTTGAATCTTATCAGCCGTCCTCGGTGGGTGCCAGATTGCCAGTATTAATTTTTATTTGTTTTTTTTTTAGGATGTGTATTTAAATACACAATTAAACTTTTTTAGATTTTTGATTTTTCGTCGGCCGATAGTTTAGTCGGGCAGTTGATCAGTATGGGAGTGCGCACACTACGCCGATTCGATTTGGCCGATTCTTCATACAAATTAAAATCGGGCACAAACAACTATCGGCCAACTAAAAATCAACGGTGTGCGCCTACTCTTAGATTCAGCCAACATTAAATTAATAGTAGTACTGGTAGTGTACAGTCATCAATAAAAATGACTTAAACAAAATTAAACTTTTTTCAAGTGACCTAGAGGTAACTACATTTTATTATTATCAGCTCAAATGTCTAGTCTACGTTTATCATAATAATTTTGAGCTTTGGCTTCTAAAAATCGAAAAAAAAAACATTAAAATGACATAAAGAAGAAAGAAAAAAAATCAAACAGCATTACGCACTTATAAAATAAAAAAAAAACATTCCCACTAGTTTTCATTTTCAAAAACAAACGCGACGTATTTTCGTAAAAAAGCCCTTCAACTTTAAGAACAAACTTCACTAAACCAAGCTAATAAACGCAGACGAAACGTTTTTAGCACAACTTGTGCAATATCGCTGTTTGCTGCGGAACCCTAAACGCAATAAGCTAACGAGCAGTCGGCAAACAGTTTATGACGTACGTATACTAATGTAAGGTTATAAGGAACTCTGTTTGTCTGTGTTTTACATGTCTAAATATTTCTTGGGTTTTGGTAGAGATGTTACCTAGGACCTGGGAGAAGGGCATAAAAATATATTTATTTTATCTCTACGAGTACAAGTCAAAAGTCTTTGACTAGTGTGTGTTGCCAGTGATGGTATACGGATCTGAGTCGTGGTCGCTTACTATGGGCCTCATAAGAAGGCTCAAGGTCACCCAAAGGGCGATGGAGCGTGCTATGCTCGGAGTTTCCCTGCGTGATCGAATCAGAAATGAGGAGATCCGCAGGAGAACCAGAGTGACTGACATAGCCCGCAGAATCGCTGAAATCAAGTGGCAGTGGGCGGGGCACATAGCTCGAAGAGCTGATGGCCGCTGGGGCAGGAAAGTTATTGAGTGGCGACCACGAGCCGGAAGACATAGCGTGGGCAGGCCTCCCACTAGGTGGACCGACGATCTGGTGAAGATCGCGGGAGGTGTCTGGATGCGAGCGGCACAGGACCGGACTTTGTGGAAATCCTTGGGGGAGGCCTTTGTCTAGCAGTGGACGTCTTTCGGCTGAAACGAACGTACGAACGAGTACAATACAATGGTCTATTCCACTTTGATAACTTACATTTGACCCAGGTAAAGTGGACTCCAGGCGACACTTTGGTGTCCTTTGATCACCCATGGATAAGATCACCTAACTGATCAAAGTGGAGTTCTCCATGAGTGATCAAAGGACACTAAAGTGTCGCTTGGAGTCTACTTTGATCACCTGGGTGATCAAATCCAGGTGATCAAAGCGGAATAGACCTGGGAGGGTCAAGGGTATAAAAATCTATTTATTTTATCTCTAAGAGTTCAAATAATACTGATGTCTTAAAACCTTCAACATTAAAATAAGGGTAGATTTTTAGTCTTCTTCTTTTGTTGATGACACTTAAATCTATTTTAGAGGTTTATTAGTGCCAATGACACAATGTCAACGTGACGAGTGAATGTGAATGTGTGTGTCGTTCAAAATTGAATAGTGCATTTTTTTAAGTTTTTATGTAACAGTGCGTCACATTGTTAAAAAAGCGCCTGAAAGCTTTCCAAATCTGATCCATAAAAGCCTAATAGGAATTAAACCAGCCATGTTAAAAACAGGAAAAAAAAACGTCACTGTCCATTTAAATTGAGCGCTGTCAAAAACACACTGATCATTTTACCTCTAAAATGTTTTCGATAAGTGGGCTAAAAGGTTTCCTGGTTGTACCGACAGCAACCGCTCGTAAAATGTACGGTCAGCATGTTCCGTTAAATAATTGGTTAACCCGTTCACTGGATAGTTACAAAAAAAGAAGGATTTTTTGAAATGTTTCGCGGCGGATAGGGGATTTTGTTTTGCTTATTTTAAAAAGTTGGTTTTGTAAAATGGGCAAATACAGACGACGTTATTAAGGAGATATTGAGATGTGTTCAATTGTAGGCTACTTACTTGCATTTTTGATACTTTTTCGTTAACACCAAAAAAATCTACTGAAATATGAATATAAGACTGTCTCAGTGATCTCTACATTATTTTTCTTTCAATTGAAGTTAGAAGACACAGCAAGAAACATTTTTCTTTGACTCTCCATTCACGTCTATACATCATCATCATCATCATTTCAGCCTTAAGACGTCCACTGCTAAACATAGGCCTCCCCCAATGACTTCCACATCGCACGGTTGGTAGCGGCTTGCATCCAGCGCCTTCCTGCTACCCTTATCAGGTCGTCGGTCCACGTTGTGGGTGGACGTCCCACGCTGCGTTTTCCGGTACGTGGCGTGGAGGCCACGTCTATTCGTAGCAGATAAATTTTTACTAAGCCGCGTGATGCAACTGATCAATACAAAAATACCAAACAAGTGATTTGTCCCTTACGAGATTCGACCCCGTAACACATTTATGGTATTGTAGTCCGGAACGTAAGCCGTTCCAATGAATTTTGTGACAAAAATAACACGATACATTAACGTCGAGGCTCAGCGTTATTTTCGTATTAAAAGCCGGTACTTAATTAACGAATAATTATAAAGTTAAATTGTGAAAGCATGGCTTTTACTGTTTACCTCTTGAGTTTTCACTTAGTTTTTGGTAAAAAAAATTGGAAGGGATTTAAGTTCATATTGAAGATCCTTCGATTCAGCTTGACTTGACCCCTTTTCTTCAAGGAGTTTCATAAAAATAAGAGGTCTTGGTCGATTGGATAGTATTATCTTAAATTCACCCTCTTCCCTTTAAACAATTTAGTACGCGAAATTACAGGTACAGAGCACAGCACATCAACCTAAATACAATCGCATCTTATCTCGTTGTAATACAGGCTAATAAGCAACAAAAATGTACATTCCAATGTACTGTCGCTGCCATACAGCTAGTATTAGAACAGTCACCTACCCAACATTAACACGTTTAAATCCAAGACCTCGTGAAACAACAAGAAAAATGGAAACTACCATGTGTTGCCAAACACAAATAAAAGTGAGAGCGCTGAAAATTCAGCCATGAAATAAAGCCGCTGTATTTTCCAGTACCCCACTCGGAATGTTGCCAGCATCGCACGATCTTTATGGTGGTTATTTGGCCATCTAGCCATCATGATAGGAATGCTATGGCAATAAAAACACATCCGTGGATGGGGTTCGGATTTGAGTACCAGAGAGTATTCTAACAAAGATAATGAATTAAAATAAATTACTAAATTATGCTATTTTCCCCAAAATGATGCACATACGTAATGAGTTTAAAGCCCGATTTGACCAAACTTGTATCCGAGAATAGCTCCTGGTATAACTGGCACATTGACAGTTTCACTATGGGAAATATGTCAAACAAAATGTTGAATAACTGTCGATTTATTCTGATATTAATTTACTCTAGTTTGGTCGAATCCACCCTAAACAGCATAACAATCCAATCCTACTAATATTATAAATGCGAAAGTTTTGATGTCTGGATGTTGTTACTCTTTCACGCAAAACTACTGAACGGATTTTGATGAAACTTATTATTATTGTTTATAACCCAGAATAACAGTAGATAGGCTATAATTTATGACGATCTGTGACAGATTCGATTTCACGCGGGTGAATCTGCGGACAAAAGCTAGTAACAAATAAGTATAAAGGTACTAACCCTGCGAGGGCACCCGAAGTCTTTGCCCTAGATATACACTTCTCTATAACCTAACAGATCGCTGTCTGGGTGAACGACACTGCCGCCGACACACGTATATTGAAGTATACAGCACAGACAAAGGAATATTTGGGCTGTTGATAGAATATCTTGGAAGCTATAGTCTTTATTTTGATTGTTCTTGTATTATAGTAAATTCGTAGAATTATTTTGGGTTGAAACCTAGTCAGTAAAGTATTTTTGATAAGATTGAAGATATTGTAGAGTAATATTACACAACAATACAAGTAGTTTGTAAAGTACTGGATTCTT